TTCGGGTAATTGTGAAGTTACATGGTGTTCCGTCGAGTATTGTGTCAAATAGAGATCTGCGGTTTACTTCAGAATTTTGGAAGAGCTTACAGGAAGCTTTGGGAACTAAGTTGAAGTTGAGTTCAACTTATCATCCGCAAACTGATGGTCAGTCAGAGAGGACTATTCAGTCGCTTGAGGATTTGCTGAGAGCTTGTGTGTTAGAAAAGGGTGGTGCGTGGGATACTCATTTACCATTGATTGAGTTCACGTACAATAACAGTTACCATTCTAGTATCGGAATGGCACCATTTGAAGCTTTGTATGGGAGGAGGTGTAAGACTCCTCTGTGTTGGTATGAGACTGGTGAGAATGTGGTGCTTGGACCAGAGATTGTACAATAGACTACCGAGACAATCCAAATGATTCGTGAGAAAATGAAAGTGTCTCAGAGTAGGCAGAAAAGTTATCATGATAACCAGAGGAAAGAGCTGGAATTCAGTGTAGGTGATCACGTATTCCTCAGAGTGAACCCGATGACTGGTGTGGGTCGTGCATTGAAGTCCAAGAAGCTGGATTCTAAGTTTATTGGACCTTATGAGATTTTACAGAGGATTGGTGTTGTGGCTTATAGGGTGGCGTTACCGCCTGAATTGTCGAACTTACATGATGTGTTTCATGTGTCGCAATTGCGAAAGTATGTTTTTGATCCATCTCATGTGATTTAGAGAGATGATGTTCAGGTTCGAGAGAATCTTACTGTTGAGACGACGCCGTTGAGGATCGAGGACCGTAAGATGAAACAGCTCCGAGGGAAGGAGATACCTTTGGTGAAGGTAGGTTGGGGAGGTGCTGCAGGAGGCAGTGTGACCTGGGAGTTGGAAAGTAGGATGTGAGAAGCGTATCCGGACTATTTCCATCAGGTAATTTTCGAGGACGAAAATAATTAAAGTGGGGGAGAGTTGTAACACCCATTTTAATTATTTAGTCATTTTATTATTATTTTAATTATTATATGTTGGTGTGCCCTTTGGTGGGGGTGTGTTGGATGATGTTTGGTGAGTGTCCTTAATATGGGAGGATTATTGGTGGTGTTTTGGTGTGAATATGATAATATAATGAATAATAGTAATATTGGTGGGGGTATTATTATCATTATATTTATTATATTTATTATTACTAATATTATTATGATTTTGGTGAGATAATAATATTATTATTATTACTATTATTATTAATAGTATTAAAATATTATTAGTATTATTAGTAATATTTTATTATTATTACTTGGGATTAGAATATATAAAATAAAATAGAGGAATAAAAGGGGGAGTTAGAACGTGAGAAGAGAAAAGGACGATAGAAGTGAGAAGAACGAGAAAGAGAGCGAAGAAGGAAGGAGAAGAGGGAAAGTCAAAATTGGCCAAACTTGGAGGATTTCCACCGATCAGAACAATTTACCAAGGTAAGGGGGGGGGGGGGGGGGAGAAACTTGATTGGGATGGTATTTACATGTATAGGGTAGTGGGGATTCCTTAACCCCGTAGGAATGTATCGGTGTATGAAGTTTTATGTTGACATGCCTATAACTGTTGATTGATGTTGAGAATTGGTATTTGATAAACCAATGATGAATTGATATATGTTGATGTTGATGAATTGTTGTTTTTGGTGAGTTTGGGGTATTGGTTGGGTTTACGGTTTTAGGGATGTCCTGTGTGACCTTTTGATGTGTCGATAGAATGTTTAAGTGTTGATTCTGGAATATGGTTTAGGAAGCAATTGATTAAGGTATTGTACATTGTTGGTACTGATCATAGGCTGTGAATTGGAAGTAGAAAGTTAGGCTGAATTTGGCTTAGATAGCACTGCTGAGCAGTGGGGATTTTTGGTGTATCGCAGCATTCGCTGGGCTTCGCCTAGCAAATGGTAGCGAGTATTCGCCTGGCGAAGGGGAGCGAACGGTAGCGAATAATTCTGAATTAAATCCCAGACTGAAAGGGGGTAAACTTCGCCTGGCGAGTGTGGCCAGCGAAGGTTCGCCTGGCGAATGCACGATAGTGGAATGGGGCTTCTCCAGCAGGTTCTCCTGGCGAAGGTTGGCGAACATTCGCTGCGGGGCTTCGCCTGGCGAATGGGCCAGCGAGCGTAGCAGCAGAATGTGACTTTTTATGATGTTGGATCTTGAGCTTTGATCTTGTGTGATCCCTTTGGCCATGATGAAGTGATAGAATGGTGATTGTAGGATTTAACTGGTGTACTTGGTGATAGTGAGTGATCCCTTAATATTTTATTTTAAATGGATGATTAGTTGGTGTATCCCCGAGTAGTGGGACTTGTTTATATTTGGTGTTAGAGTGTGATATTGTTCACTATCTGATTTGATTTATATGGTGTTGGTGTGTAATATATATACATATACGCATGATGTATGATGATATGATCAGGAGGATCGTGTGCCCTTTGTGTGCCTGAATATAATAGTTGTGCATTGGTGTTGTGCATATCATGGTGTTTGGGTGGGATGAATCATATCTCAGGAGGAGCGTAAGTGATTCATCCGTACTCCTTTGTGGAGAATGGTGGGGGATAGATCATATCTCAGTAGGAGCGTAAGTGGTCTATCGGGGATGGATCATATCTCAGTAGGAGCGTAAGTGATCTGTCCAGGGTTCGATTGAATGAACCAATGAGTCGGTACCGCATGCATGGTGTTGAGTTGCATAATTTGCATTATTATATGTTATATGGTAATTTGAACAGTAGGTTCGTGATTGGTGTTGTTGGGGTGAATGTTGGTGTGTTTTACTACCTTATTTACATGTATTAAATTACCAATATATTTTAATCATGTTTTCTCACCCCTTTGTTGTTGTTGTGGTCTGTGCTTCTTCGGAAGTACAGATAATCCAGGTACTTAGCTAGCTTGGATTATGGTGTGCCAGTCGAGTCTAGGATGCTCTGATACGTAGCACGGGACTTGGGTATTTTTAGTTGTTATGATGAACTTGTATTTTATTTCCTGTGAACGTATCAGACCTTTGTGGATTTCACTATTTTATTATTTCCGCTGTATTTTGGAGAAAACCTTTTTATAAGGAAATGTTGGTTTTATTATGTGATATCCAACTTGGGAGGAAAAACTATGATGTTTATTTATAATGTTTATTATTTTAATTGTTTTGGGAAGTGGGGTGTTACATCTTTTATGAGCAATGTTAAGTTCATGTTCCAGCAGTTAGGGTCGATGCCTGTTTGTGGTAGAACAGAGATAGCAGGCCCTTTCTGAAAAAAAGGTTTGACAGGAAAGTCACATAGGACAAAATAGTTTGCATTTGGTTTATGAGTTTTAGACAGAAATGAATTGACTTTGTTTGTGGCGTGTATCGCACTAAAGTCAATGACATAGGATCGAGTACTTCACGCTAACGTTCCAAACGTCTCGCGTGCAAAGTACCCTAAGATGAGGTTAGAAATGCATCCACTCATCCTTTCCCATGTGCTTAAGGCTCGTGACGCACTATGCACATCGTGTTTATTAAGTATCTTGGTTTGATTCGAGAGAGAAGACATAAAATACTTGATGGGCGAGAGGAAAAAAAATAAGGGAGACTTGGCCCTAAATGCTGTCATGATAAATGGTCCTAAGGTTAGGTTAAAAAAGGAGACTATCCTAAAAGTTGTCATGCAACAAATCAAAACCTAAAAACTACTATGATTCACTTTAATAAAGGGGAAAGTTGAATCAGGATCTTGTAAGGAACTAAGTGTGCACGAAGGACAACATAAGAGAATGTTACACAACTCAAACACAAAGCATCAAGTGCCAAACAGAACTTAAGTAAGGATTCATGAGCAAGGTCAAAGTCATATCAATCACAAGGCACACACCTGGGTTGAACATGTATCATCGAGAATTTTTCAATATTTCTAGAATTCAGTTAATGCTTAATACTCAACCAAAAAATCATTATAAGCTTTACTTGGAATTCATGAAATCAAGGCAAAACTTAATCAAGCCAAATTAATAAAATCAAGAACACCGAAGCCTAATATCGCCATGTTAATCCGCACCAAAGTCAATGTTTAATCAACATTTAAAATCAAGACTAAGACTAAAATCTAAACCGAAACTTAATCAAAATTAAGCAAAACTAAGATCAAAATCTAAATTTAAATTAAGAAATAACTTCAAGATTCAACAAAAAAACTAAAATTAATTTAAATCTATATCTAATTTCAAGATTTTACGAAAATTAAAATCTAAAATAAAAACAAGGGTATAACAAAATAAAAAGAAAGTATTATAAGAACAGGATGGGCCATTGTGACGAGCCCAAGGTGGGATGAAAGGAGATGATGGTTTGGCAAAAATAAATCGTACGGGTGGACGTTCCAAGCCCAAATCAACTATCAACACTTCAAAAAAAGATTGTCCAAAATTACTTCACTGCCCTTTCCTTTAAAATTAATTACACTACATATTGGACAAAATAGTAAACAGCTAAATGACAAAAATCATCTGTTTCATTTCCCTCTTCTATTGCCATCTGTCAAGTGTGTATTGGATGCATCAAAACTTTGTTTCCCTCCTCCCCACAAACATCTGAACATTGAGTTACCCATAAAACCTCTTATACTCACACGATTTTGCTCCCTCCTTCTCACAAACATCATCAAACTTCTGCTAACATCTTTTAGGGTTTTGCAAGTTGACATTATTGTTCCAAGTTATTCTGCTAACATCAAACTTCTGCTAACATCTACTGCTGTTGTTTTCCAACCTAACATTTGCTGGTCTTCTGGTTCGTTTCATCGTATTTTTTTGTTGTTTTGCAAACTCTTCTTTGGCTTACACTATAAAATATGTAGGTTGTTTTCATGAAAACATGTTTTTGTTAATATATTGCTTTTGCTTACACATAAATTATTTAAGCAGTTGTGAAGTTGTAAGGTATATGAATATTGATTAATGTCCATTCACCTGAGCAATTTTTTCTCTTTTATGTTTCTAAGCAACCATGTCAAGACCCTCAATACTCATCAAGGACTTGGAGAAAGGGAAACAGGTTTGGAAAATGCTCATTAGAGTTGTTGATCTTTGGATTGTGAAGGAGAAAAGTGGACTGCAACATTTCGAATTGGTGATTCAAGACTCACAGGTAATCATTACCTGCTCTGTTTCTATATTATTACTGTCCATTTCCTTGAATGTTTACCCATTTTGTAGGGTGATCAAATCCATGTCACAACTAGGAACTGTGAGTTTAAAGACTAGTCTGAACAGCTAACTGAACATGACGCTTTACAATGGAGAGCCAATGACTAATGATGGCACTTTCAAAGTTTGCCCCAACAAGTTGAAACTTGTCTTCAATGGAGGAACGACTGTTTTGAAATTGCCAATACCCAAAATACCGAAACACCAATTCAAGTTTAAGCCGATTGTCGACTTTCTCACTGGAAATTTCATCACTGATCTCTTATATGGTGAGATGTATTCATATTATACATATGGTGTATATTGCTATTTGTCATACTAAATGGATATTGAATTAACTATATATGATACATATGAAAACATTGTCACTTTTTCTCATTCTTATATATTACAGATGTCGTCAGGGTTTTACAAGATGTTGTGAAGACGTAAATGGGCGGTGGTGGTAAGAAATCATGTGCCAACATCACTCTAAGAGATGGAGCTGGAAATATTATTGAGGTTGCGTTATGGGATGATTATGGTAAACAGTTCATGAGCTATAATAGCTCCAACAAGTTTCCCGGACCAACACTCATTGTCTTAACACACGTATGGTGCAAGCAAAATCAAGGTAACAAAGTTATTGTGATACACATGCAAGAACTGATATTTTTGTTCTTCAAATAACTAACTCTGCATTTTGTAGGTATGCATTGCAGTGTGCTCTTTAGAAGCATATGTAGCAGCATGTCCATTGTTTTTTTCCACTGTTATAGCAGCATGTCCATTGTTTAGTAGTAACATATATAACAACATGTCCATTGTTTTATTCTACTGATGTAGCAGCATGTCCATCATTTAGTAGTAACATATGTAGCAACATGTCCATTGTTTTTTTTCCACTGATGTATCATAAAACTTTCCCCTTTACCATTCTGACTTTTGTAATTCACAAATTATTTTATAGATTTTTGTGTTCTTGAAACATTTGTCTGCTGCATTTTGTTGGTATCCATTGCAATGTGCACTTTTGAAATGGATGACTCTTGCAAGCTTAGATGTATTAATAGGACATAACTAGATAACAAAGTGACAATGAACTTGTCTCAAATAATAATGCAACCTGTCCTTTCAAAATTACCCCATGTAATACAAGTTCAGCATGTCCATTTTTGTACCAGCATGTTCGGTTAGTAGTAATATTTAGTCTCAAGTTTTTACAAACAACATCATTATGTAATATGCATGCTATGTTTATCAATTCAATAACTTAATGTCTGAATTTTGTCAAGCAGCATCTGGATTGCCTAGCCTATCTAATGCATGGAATGGATCAAGACTCCACATCAACTTGGAGCATCCCCAAGTTCTAGATTTTAAAACCAAGTATGTTCCTACATTAAACAGTTAGATACTTGTCTAAAGTTTTACTGAACTTGGTTTACTTTGATTTGATTCTTTATCTTTGTTTCTACATAAAATTTCCAGGCTAGGATCCACAGTTTCAGCTGCTGCACCAACTCATTCTATAACCCAGACTTCTGAATCCTTTGTGCAGTCTGGCAACAAAAGTTGGACAAACTCTAATGAGGTTAAGAGTATCTGTCACATTTGTGAAATCGGCAAGGTCAGCTTTTAAATTGTCGTTACAACCTTAATTATTTATTCAAATATCTACCAACTCTTTGTGATGTCAAACTAGGATTGTTTTGCCACAACCATTGGCACTACTAAGATATTTAAGGCATCAAAGCATGGCTGGTATTTTGAGGCTTGACCCAGTTGTAAGACATCAAACAAGTACACTGCCACCAAGTTCATATGTGTTTGTGGAGTCAAAGATGTTGAACCTGTGACAAAGTAATTTTTCTATATCCTGATTTTTATACCTTCAATTATAACTTTGCATCCTATTTTACATACTTGAACCGCTTTTGTTTCATGGCATAGATACAAAATCGAGGTAGAAGTCGAGTTTGATAATCATGTTGGATGCTTTGTGTTTTGGGATAAAGATGTTATTCCATATATTACTATGACTGCTAGGGAATTGAGACAAGTAATGGAGGAGGTAAATACATTATTCATTTGATTACTATGTTTCTCTTATTCATGATTTTAGTCACCAACTTTACATTTCTGATGTGATTATTCATCAAGGCTGGAGAGGATAACCCAAAAATTTATCCCATACACCTAGACAAACCTTTGGATCAACAATTTGCATTTAGAATCAAATATCAATCTTTTTTCAATCAATTCTCAATTGTTACTATCCTTAACGATCCTGGTGTTTACAAAACATTATCTGAAGCCCTTAAACCGGATGAGGTACAATTTGGTTATGGAAATGAAGTCATAATGCGTAAACTTTCAAATTTATCATGTTTTGAACATAACTGGTTGGTTTCAATTTGTGCTCTTATGTTTTGGCAGCATACCTCTAAGGCTGCCTTTTTGAAAACTGATACAGAGCATGCTATGGATATGGAACTTGAACCAATTGTATGTCTTCTTTCTTAACATGTTGCAAAACTTCCAATATACTTTTGTGTACTACAGGCATAAAATATTGACCATTTAGTTTTGTTTTGTCTAGCCAACCCAATCTTCTGGCCAACACTACAACACACATCTGGAAATTTCTGCCACCCAAACTTGCAGTCCATCCACTTGCTCTAGCAACACACCGGCTAAGAGGCCCACCATTCATACTTTTCTTGATGATTTTTTGCAAGATGATGTCTTGACTCCAAAGATTTCAGCAACCAAGGTAAAGCACCTCAAGAAGGAGTGACTCTTTAGTGAGCACCTCATTTTGTGTTAGATTCAAATATTTTGTTAAGATCATTTGTGTAAGGATTCATTCCAAACTTCTGCATAACTATGTTAACTACTTTTGTTGAATTCAATCTTATGTACTCCCTTATGCATACAATGACATTCTGAATTTGGTCTATCCATTTTTGGTATGAAACATACACTGATAAATTGACCATATGAACATGTTCATTTGAAACACAATACAAATTGCTTTTGTATATTTGGAGACAAACCAAATAATTAATCCTTATCTTACTTAGACTTATGAATTTCAGGTCTTGATAATTATAATGTTTCTACATGATTTTAATCACCAACTAAACAAATGTCTTTCTATATCATTACCAACTTTAACTTCTGGAACTTTTAATAATTCATCTTAATATGACTTTCCTTAATCCTTCTATTTTCAACTTTGATTTTTCATATATTAAGTATATATGGTTCTAAAAGGTCTGCCAACACAAGTACTTTGTTTTATGTAACATCGACATTTACTATGGCTTAACATTATCTACTTCTCAATACCTTGCCTGAAGTTTTTTTTCCTACCTGCATCACAATTTGTTTGTGCATCCTGCATCAATAACATGGCAGCATCATTGCCTTGAATGCATTCTAATTAAAATGTCAACCCCCATCAACTAATGGCAGCAACTTCTAATAGTTATTTTTCTTCCCATTTCCTACAGTACATGTTTTGGAAAACAAACCAAGTTACATTACATAGTATTTGGATGGACTCATGTCCTTTAGTTTTTCCTTGATGACACTCAATCAAATCAAACTTTTTTACAAATCCTGCTGTACTTTTTGCTTGGTTCTTGTGCATAGTATTAGCATTGTTTTACATCCTGTTAACTTTATCATACATAAAGTTAGCTAGCAAACTTCCTTATTTTTGGGAATACCTTCAGCAACTGTACAACTCAGCATTTAATGGCTACTGCATAGACTCCTGCAACTTTAACTTTCTGCAGAGTCATGTTGCACAAAACTTGGTATTACACCTTTATGCAGACCAGCATCCATCATAACCAATTTTACCGTGTTTGCTTTTCTCACATCAATAGCCTTCAGCATGGCTATATTATGGTAGAACTCTGTTTTATTATTTATATTAATGTCAACTTGAAGTGGACTCACTATGACATAGCAACAAACAATATTGCTGCTACTGCATAATTTCAAGGACATCATATTCAAGATTTTGACATTTCTCAGCATCATATTCAAGATTTTTTTTCTGACTTTTTCTCTATACCTTACATTCACAGTGTGCTAGACATGTAAATTATAGTTACCAACCAAATAGTTGACTTACATATTCATTAGACACTTAACTAACACTTAACTAAAACATGTTTATGCTTCAAAACATTTATTTCCTAATGTACTTCTAATTAGGTGATCAAATAGAATGAGTTATTTATTATTAAACCAAAAAACTATGTCACAGGTAATCCCTCTTACAAAATTTAAATCACACACATGATCCCCACTAAGAAGCAATTTAGCAGTGGCCATGAAACTCTTACATCTATATTCAGTTTTGTTATTTGAAGTTCTTGCTGGAAGACATGGAGGTTGACCGATTTTTAATATCAACAACTGCACTACTCTTTCAATAAGGTGACTATCAACTCTTAAATTGTTCAACCATGTTTATACTCTTTCTTATTTTCAGTTACTTTCTTAATTGACTACAAAATCATGACACATTTTATCATTCAGTTTCACATGATACAACCAACCACAAAATTATTTCAATGGATATACATGGTTAGAACTGACAAAACTAATGCTTAATTTGGCTTACCGTATACTACTTTCTGAATTCTTGAGACACTTTGTGAAAATTTGGACATAACAACCCAATCTCATTGTTGTTACTACTTTTCATATTGAGAAAATTGTTACTCCCACAATCCCTTACTGCCATGATGTCTGTGGGAGTTTAGGTTGGTATTTATACACACGGTTTGCATCGACCTATATTTATTCTCACCAACAACTTTTCCACCACAATCATGTCAATTGCTCTGTCTATATTAATGTCCACTGTTTGTTAGGTGGCTCATTTATACATATATATGTTGCCTTAACTATGGGCCAACACTAATATCATTCATATGCCACACATAACAATTAATATCTATTGTTGTTCCCTACAAAAACTTATGCCAATGACAGAATATGATGCTTTGCTTTAACAACTCTTTATTGATGGAATTCTTGTGTAATTTGACGGT